CAACTTTGGCCCGTGGTTTCAGAAATTAACAACATGGCCTCAACTATACAACATATAAACTCAATTGGCCCGACACATAGTTTGACCGTCAATTTGGACGGTCAACTCCATTGACCGTTAGTCAACATGCCATGTCATTGCTTAGTCAGCATAAAAATCATTAAAAAAATTCAAATTCAAATTATTTTCCTAATTTATATTATTTATCATTTTCCAACTAACCAAAAAAATAAAATTCTAAAAATATAAAAATATTTTTTTTGGATATTTGAAAATGATAAATTTTATAAGTTAACCAAAATTATCAAATTAAATTTTATAATTTAAAAATTATGATATAAATTATATTTTTTTGGGAAGTTTTAAAAATAAAAAATAATTTGATAACTTTTGGTTAATTTATAAAATTTATCATTTTCAAATTTTCAAAAAATAAAAAAAATAAATTTATTTTTTGTTTTTTTATAATTTTGATAATAAATAATTTTTTTTAATGATTTTTAGGTTGACTAGGCAATGACATGGCATGTTGACTAATGGTCAACGAAGTTGACCGTCGAAATTGACAATCAAACTATGTGTCGGGCCAATTGAGTCTATATGCTGCATAGTTGAGGCCATGATGTTAATTTCTGAAATCACGGGCCAAAGTTGATTATATGGTTATAATTCGAGCCAAAATAAGGTATTAACCCTATCTAATGATAAAAACTAAACATATATCACTCTTATATAATATAGTGCATATATGAGACTTGAGAGGAGAAGGAGAGGTGTGGTGGGATGTGGGCCGATTGCGAGAAAATGATGAGACAATTCATACAATTATTAAAGGCTTCTTCCTTTTGCTTTATTAATTATGTACTATATATCCACAACTCTCACTTTTACTTTTACTTCACCTCCCACTTTGATTATTTCCCCGTGAATAATAAAAAGGCAACCGAAAAGCATAAAATAAAACCTCTTTTTTTGGTGGGACAAAATAAAACCATCTTGACTCACTTATTTTATTTTATTTATACATGCGCATGATCGTATTGTACATTGCCCATTTTCTGACAGAGTTTAGTGGGGGGAGGCTCCTAGTTTTGTTTGTTTGTATGTTATATATATATATAATCGTTATCAAAAAATATATCATTACCTCAGTCAGGTCATAAATCAAAAGAATGACACGTTGTCGGGTATGTTATATATAGATAGACGTACAAAATTTGTCGGGTATGTTATATATAGATAGACGTACAAAATATATTTTGTACGTCTATCTATATATAACATACCCGACAACGTGTCATTCTTTTGATTTATGACCTGACTGAGGTAATGATATATTTTTTGATAACGATTATCTTTTATAAAAAAAATATATATATATTTTGTACAACACAATGGATGAAGAATTGTAACGGATCAATTTGACATAATTGTCTCGTTTTGAGACAATTGTACCAAATTGCCTCGTTTGCCAGCAAAAAATCTGGATGGATTAATATGCCTGAGGTATTTTGAATTGATCTGTTTTGAGTCAATTTCAATTACCGGGGGTGGGGCAGGTAATTCGAATTGACTCGTTTTAATTGCCTCGTTTATAAAACGAGACAATTGATCAAATTGACTCATTTCTAGATTAATCCATACAAACGACCCTATAGTATATTTGTATTCTTTTTCAATGATTGAAATATCGTACCAGAGGTGATACCGGAAAAGTCAGCAGTATGATATTTTATGTTAAAACTATGAGCTAATCATGTTTCAACCGTATTATACCGCTACATATCTCCTACCGATTTTGCTTCTGGTAAGAAGTTTTTCTGGTCAAACCATCGGTACGATTTTTGACTCTTTGATTTTTTTGTATGGTGTCCTTGATCGACTAGATTTTTGCATCTGGTTAATCAAACTCCTTTCCGTAAACGGCAACTTGTATGTTATGACAAAAAAAAAACGGCAACTTGTGGTTTGAAGTAATGCCGAGTGTTTAGAGAGAAGGATATGAACCAGCAACAAAGGAAAACCATGATTAATGACCTTTTTTGGGTCATATATGTCATTAAGCTATCTAATTAAGAAACTTGGGAAAACTTTGAATAGTTTCCCTGATAGTTTATAGGGCTCATTAGATTGAGGTTTCGTGATCAAGGTGATAATTAAGGTCTTTATTTTCCATTGGTTTATCTTAATCTAACTGCCAACTGGAGTAAATGCGTTTTGATACGTATTCACGTCAAATTATGATATGCTTTTCAAGGATGATATATTAGAATGCTCAACATTTTTATTACATGATATCGAAATCTAGTAAACATAATATCAAAACATAATCAATTTTGTCGTATTTACAAAGAACATAAATACTTAATCCATACTAGCTGGTTGATACAACAAATTAAACTGACGTCACCTGTCCTAATGATCTAACTAACCTATTTAGTATTTTAGTTGTACATACCAGACTCATAACAAACCCTAACAAACTTAGAGATCGTTTGGATGATGGAATTGAATGAGACAATTGAAAGTAATTGCTTCAAAACAAAGCAATCAGTCAAAAAATCTTGTTTGGCAACACAACTGAGGATGCAACAATTGAAATGACGCAATTTAAATTTTCTTGTTTTGTATCATTTTGAAATGAAAGAGAAGGAATAAATACTATTAAATGTTGCTCTATTATGGATCAAATTGCCTCATTACCCTCAAGGCCTCAACATATTAAAAAAACAATTAATCACGACACTGCCATTCCTGTGTGATCAAGAACTGTCGTTTTTTATATGTAAATTTGATTACTGCGATTTGACTCTTGCGTAATTGATTTTGACACGAGCTAAGCAGTTACATCCTTTATCCATAAACAAAAATACATAGCCATGTTGTTTTCATATTTCAACTTCTATAGGTGAATTTTTGTTCTTATTAATGACTATATGTGAAATTGTTTTCTTGTTAAGCGGATAAAGCTTTGTTGTTTTTAACAAATTATTTTTTTATTCTACATAATGATAATCTTTACTAAGAGTTAGTGAGTAACAGAGTGGTACATATAAGATCCATAATTAAACTCATTTTACTAAGTCGAGCTGTTGGAACCAAACCGTTTATAACACGGTATTAGAGCTGGTTTGGTTTGTTCAAATAGTCTTACGTTCGACCATTGGCATAATAAAAAAATTTGGACAAGAGACGTCCATTTATCAAATATAAATATATAAATAAATATTTAAACTACATAATAAATTTTCTAGAAATCCAAGCAACTAATTCAAAGAAAAAATAATTGAATAATGTTCATAAACAATCACGAAGTAATTTTTTATGAACAATTATGATGTATTTTATCGTATTATGAAAGTATAGTAAAATTAGGTTCGTTATTTATACTCTTAACTAAGTGTCTTTCAATGCATACGAATCAAGAATTGGTGGCCTATTCGACTTTATAGATTGTTTTTAATTAGCTCAAAACAAAAAAAAATGTTCTTTCTACATTAGCATCTGCCCTAGATAGAATCAAAATTGCCTTCAAAATAAATAGACTAACAAATATGATTGATCCACTATTATCTTTGCCATCGCCATAGAGTTACAAATATAATTTTATGGTGTAAGCATCACAAGGAATAAGTTGTATCGTAGCCGTAAGCTGGTCTAGTATTAATTTATGGGTTTTGTTTATGAATACCATATACATACTTAGAGGTTGGTAATTTTTACCAAAATATTAAGGGTTTCATGTGACACCGTGAATATGGCATGGCTTGGCTTGGCTCGGCTTATGATTTTCGCGACATCCAATATTAACAGCTGATTTAAACACAAGGTATGATGTACCTATGCAAATTTTAATATCGTGAATTTACTTTCATTTGAGGAGTGTGTACGGAAGTTGTATTAAAATCGGGTAAATTGCAAGAATGGATTTGGGTGGTTTAATTGATGGGTTTGATTTAGAAGGTTGGGTCTTATGATTTGGTGGCTTTAATGACGTGGTTGGTGACATGGCAGGTTGAGTTTTACCTTTTCAGATTAAATTTTGGTGACTCAGCACTTCTGCTAGCCACATCAGCAAAAAACTGACGGTGCTAACGGAAGGTAACGGAGAGTGACCAAACTCCAACTGTTTGATTAATCATAGTGACCACAAATGGAATTAAATATTTTTAGTGACCAAACATGAACGATTTTAGTAATCTCAGTGACCAACCTTGCAATTTACCCTATTAAAATCTATAATTAACTTTATTCTAATAACTTGAGTTATTTGAATCAAAGGTGAATAAGTGAGTGGTCATCTTTAACTTTTCAAAAGTGGCATGTTAATGCAAAAATAAACGTCCCATTGCTTCTTTTATCGAAATTAACTCATATTGTTATAAAAAGAAAAATATAACTCATATTACATTATTTACCCAAAAAAAGATAAATTTTGTTAAAGGTCTTATTTTGAATCTTTACGTAGCTAATCTGCCAAATTTTGCATCAATTAATTAACTAACAGTGGGAGTTTCGGATCGGATAGAATGTAGATTTCAAATCTCACCATAAATTTTTTCGGTGTGTAATCATTGTCAACTAGGAATTGACTTAGATAGAGAGGTAGGTCTTTTGAGACTTGAGATTATGGCTGGCGTGACCCAAATCACTTTCTAACTAATTCAATAACAAACTCATTTGCTTCCAAAATTTTGTCTGGTTTACAACTCAAACATCATTTCTAAAGGATTATTATATTTATTATTTAGGCACTCGATAGACCCTTTTTTATCATTGTTTTGCTTTAAAGGGTAAACAGTTCGGAATGGTTGTTCATCTAGGGATCGGTTAGCTTGACTACCCCTAAAGGGGTAGTGATTTTTGACACCCCCTTTATGATTGGCCAATTTTATTTCCAATCATTGGCAAGTATTAATTAAACTGGTTTTTTATTTTTTTTAATCTTGTAATTTGGGGTCTCTCACCACATTGGAAAAGAGAAAGAATCTGGGGAAATACGAAATCACCCCCATTAATTACATAATTAATTTCTCTCACTGGTACATTAATTACACGTACCACTCCACTGGTACACGTACCACTCCTCTGGTACACGTACCACTCCACTGGTGCACGTACCACTCCACTGGTCCACGTACCACTTCACTGGTACACGTACCACTCCATTGGTGCGAGCAATCCACAAGGTAGGTTAGAGTGAGAACAATACCAGTGCAATGATATTTTTCATAACAATGATAAACAATAACGGAGCAACAATGCAGTACCACTTCAATGATACAAATACCACTCCACTGGTACACGTACCACACCACTGGTACACGTACCACTCCACTGGTACACGTACCACTCCACTGGTGCGAGCAATCCACAAGGTAGGTCAGAGACGATCCCAGGATGGCGGCAGCTGGAGATAGGAGGAGACTCGAGGGGAACAGAGGGACGGGAGAGGGTCGGCGGAACGGAGGTTGTGGACCGCCGGAGGGAGGCTTTGCTGGACTGAGAAGACGTCGGGAGAGGGTTTCCGGCCGGCGAAGGCGATCCCACCGTCGGCGAGCAACTCGATGGTTTCCGGCCGCCATCGATTTCTGCAGAGGAGAGGGCCACCGTCAAGTTCTGCAGAGGAGAGAAATGGGTGCTATTTTTTCGGGAGGGAATATGAGGAATATAGGAGCTGAAAAGGCACTTTCCTCCTCCAACGTTTTTCTCCTTCCCCATTCATAATTATTATCACAATTAAGGCTTTCCCAATTTACAAGATTACAATAAATAAAATAAAAAGCAACTTTCATTAATACAACTTACCAAATGATTAAATGGATAAGTGACCAATCAAAAGGAGGGTGTCGAAAATCACTACCCCTTTAGGGGTTAGCATAGTATCCTGCCCCGTTCATCTACCAATTTAGGGGCAGTAATTCAATCCTTCCCCAGTCCAAAACTCTTCTACAGGCCCAAATCATCAGGCCCAAAATTCTATGTAAAATCTTTTTTTTTTATGGGAAAATTATGTGCAAAATCCTTGGGAAACTATAGGGTTAGGTTTATATATAATACAAGATTAGTTTATTAATAATATCAACCCATCAAACAAATAAACAAACAAGAACAATGTTATTTTTCTCTTCATTTCTTATTGGGCGTTGGGGCTGGGGAAGTGTACAGTCACACGTGCAGAGAGCATGCATCTCGAGGATGTCATGCGACTTTGACGTTTTTTCTTTGGTCAACAGGTTGAAATTCGTTAGAAAGTGAAATAGGTAAAACTCTTGAGATTGAGTTTAACAACTTACGTGAATCCACTCAGGAAGAATGTTGAAAGAATTTGATGATGCGGAATTGAAATAGAACACGAGACAACGAGTTTTATGTGGTATACTTGATTAATCTATCGATCGAGACTAATCCACGGTGAGCTCCGAAGAGTTCACGAGTCACGATTGACGTTTTATTGAACGATTACATTGTGACGGCTTGAATACGACAATCTCGTAGCTAAGCTTATATATAGAAAGACTTAGGGTTAAAACCCTAATCCAACGAATAGGACGAGGCCCAACAAGGCCCAATACTAACACGGTTTAAGTAACCGCAACACTCCCCCTCAAGCGAAGACATGAATGACAAGAATGTCGAGCTTGAAGAAGGAAATATGAAGAACAAGCATGATGGCTTGAACAACAAAACTCGAGATGAATAACATCTCGGACGAGGTTGATTGGAGACGACTGACTCTCTCTCTGAAGTTTGTCTGAAGAAACCCGATGATGGAGACGGTTGATTGCATCTCTTGAACTTGAACACACTTAGTACATCGCGGTCGACTTGATGACTGAGCTAGTCGACCGACGTATGTTGACATCCTATTCTCCCCCTCAACCTGGAGCATGAACATCGTGAATGCCCGGCTTGAAAAGCGGTGAATGGTTGATATGTGCCAAATAATGAACCGGAAGAGGGGACGACAATTTCTTGGATCGTGAATGCCAACTGGACGATGAAGGACGACGACGTCTCTGATCGTACTACCTTTGAAAGACAGGGGACGACCATTTTATGGATCGTGAATGCCTCGACCTGATGACTTGAAAATTTTGTTGACAGAAGTTGGTTCTTTCTCCCCAATACTAGCTATTTGAAGAGATGACCACTGTCGGTCATCATTGTCTTCAACGTCATGACTGGGATGTTGGTCACAAATTTTTCCCCTCTCGACCCTGGCCGCCAAAGGGACGATCCCAATTCTTAGGTCGTGGCTGCCTTTGGTGCCAATGACTAGACTGAATCTCCGTTGTTAATTGATGAAAGCTGGTTGAGAACATGACTGACGAGAACTTGACAAACTTGAGGATAAGTCCAAGCCTTCTGTTGACAACAGAATTTCGTTGACTCAACTGACTCCCACAACCTGTCCCAAAACCTTATCAAGCAAACCACAACACATTCTCGTCAAGTAAGCATGGCAAGTAAACAGCAGCAACACATTACCGTAGAGAATAAAATACACATATGCCAAGATGAATACTAGCGCGATCCAACAGTGGGCCATTAGTGAAAGAAAAAGAAACTTAAAGGGTATCCTGGGATGCCATTGAATATGAAATATTTCACAAAACATAAAACCCTTGATGAACACCATGACATTGGAGAATACTCCAGGAGACGTAGGACTCATGGCGACGAACCGCAACAAGCTGCAAAAACCTGTTGACGCTGCTGTCAATGATTTTGGAGGCAACTGCGGATTAATTCTCTAAATACACATAAAACTAAAGCAAATTCCTAAACTACCACACTTTTAAAAAAATTTCCCAAAATACATAAGTTTGGAGTGGTTCGAGTTTGAGAAACTCGAACTACTAACCGGTTCGAGTGTAGGAGACTCGATCTACTTGTAGATCGATGATATAAGCCTCGAACCATGTGGGGTTGAAGTGGTTCGAGTTCAGTGAACTCGAACCACTCCTTTGAAATTTCCAACCACCTTAACTTTGTGCTCGGTTATCCGATCGTAGCAAACTTTTTTTTCATTTTGCATAACTTTTTGAGGACTACAACTTTTATAATAGAAATATTTTCAGAATATATGTGAAAATGTGAAAATTAAAGTTAAAGTTACTCCCAAAACCCCTTATATTAAAAACTATTCCTATTTTGAAAATTTATTCCTAGTAAATGTTGTAGTACTCAAAACGTTATGCAAAATAAAAAAAAACTTTGCGACGTTCGGATTGCGGAGCACAAAGTTATGATCCTCCAAAGTTTGACAAATTCGAAAATTTGCTCGTTTATGGGTAGCAAATGACGTTTACAAGGAAGATAGCCATCCAAAAATTTCTCGTTTGGAAAACTATTGCTCTTTTTGCAGAAATTTCCTATATATAAAAAAATTTCTTGTGCCTTCGCTCCGAGAAAATGTCATTTGTAACCCCTAAACGAGCAATTTTTCGATTTTGTCAAACTGTGGAGGATCATAACTTTGTGCTCCGCAATCCGAACATCGCAAAGTATTTTTTTATTTTGCATAACTTTTTGAGTACTACGACATTTACTAGGAATAAATTTTCAAAATAGGAATAGTTTTTAATATAAGGGGTTTTGGGAGTAACTTTAACTTTAATTTTCACATTTTCACATATATTCTGAAAATATTTCTATTATAAAAGTTGTAGTCCTCAAAAAGTTATGCAAAATGAAAAAAAAGTTTGCTACGATCGGATAACCGAGCACAAAGTTAAGGTGGTTGGAAATTTCAAAGGAGTGGTTCGAGTTCACTGAACTCGAACCACTTCAACCCCACATGGTTCGAGGCTTATATCATCGATCTACGAGTAGATCGAGTCTCCTACACTCGAACCGGTTAGTAGTTCGAGTTTCTCAAACTCGAACCACTCCAAACTTAGGTATTTTGGAAATTTTTTTTAAAAGTGTGGTAGTTTATGAATTTGCTTTAGTTTTATGTGTATTTAGAGAATTAATCCGGCAACTGCTGACATGGACAAGAAGACGTTGGAAGAACCCGGATCCAACTGAAATCGAGTACTTTGAAGGGACGCGATGATGTCCCCTAGAGAGAGACCGCGATTGGAAGATAGCAGCGATGAAGACGGTTCGACAGCGCCGTGACACGAACGACCAGGGCCATAAGAGGGCACGTCGGTGACTTGAATCCACTGACTGCGGCGTTCACTCGATGTGGACGATGGTGAACTGGCGGGACGGTGGATGCAAGAGATCTCGTTTTCGACGGTGGGAAGTACTTCACCTTCGAACTACGGAAGGAGCATAGAGCGGACTATCGACCCAGTCCCAAATATATGACAGATCTATCCGGACTCCATGAGACTTAGACTCTTGGTAGATTTGTGACGTCGGGACGGAATTGGATGCTCGACCAACGATGGATTGACTGCCAGGGATTCTTGACTTTTAGCTGCTTTGGACCTAATCTTCAAGACCTTCCTCCAGGCCCATGAGCAGGGCATAGATGTAGGTATACATCTATGCCCTGCTCATGGGCCTGGAGGAAGGTCTTGAAGATTAGGTCCAAAGCAGCTCAGTACCTAACAGTCAGACCTACAGGGGTTTATTGGGGAGACTGTGTGATGAATAAATTTTCAGTTACAAGAGTCTGGGAAACATTGCGTGATAAGCATGAGACAGTGCAGTGGTTCCCTCTACTTTGGAAGTCATATGGTACTCCTAGAGACAAATTGCTAGTCTGGTTAATCATACTAGACAGAATCGCCACACTAGATAAAGTCCAAAGATGGAACAGAACAGTGGTGAATTTGTGTCCACTTTGCTCTTCTGCAGAGGAGTCCAGAGATCACCTTTTCTTTGGATGTGAGTATTCTAAAGGTGTGATGAAAGCTATGTTTGCAGGTGGAGATGTGGTGGGGGTAACTTGGGAGGGCTCTCTGGCCAATGCTACATCAATTTTCAGGGGGGAAAACTCTGTGTCTGAAAGGGGTCGACTTCTTTGGGTAATGGGGGTAGCTGAACTATGGAGGGAACGATGTAGACGAGTCATGGCTGGAGAGGCTCTGGTGGAAAAACAGCTATTGAAGAAGTTGCAGGGACTGCTGCACCTACTCAGGCTTGGCTTCCCTCAGGTGGAGCTGGCTGTCTCTGAAGACTACGTTCATAGTATTGTAGTGTAGTATTAGTAGTGGTTGAGGAAATTTTCTGTTTCTTATTTTAGTTGGATTAGTCAAAAGTTTTTGTTGTAAGACAGTGGTGTTTCTTTGGTTCCAGTTGGGGGGTTTTTTCTCTCTGGGGAAGCCCTCCTTCTTGATGAATAAAACTTGCTTATTCATAAAAAAAAAACGAGAAACGCCATTGACGAAGAAGCACAACCGAGCAGCAGGGACATCGGTGGCTTCGGCTGATGATTTGCCGTGAACAGCAACTAGGTGATAACAAGCGAATCAAAACCGGCAACAACAGTACTGCGGTCACGACAACAGCTATGTTGTGATTGACGATGATGCTAGCGGAGAGCCGGAAGAGAATTAAACATCGGTAACTCCGGGAACACTGCTGCAATGACCTCATAGACAAACGGTTGATGAAGAGCGGAAGCTCCGAACCCTAGGGAAGAAGAGATGTCGGTCGAGGCTGCCGCGGAGAGGCAATGGATCCAGACGTTTGTAACTCAAAACCCTTGACAATTGATGGTGGACGCATGTGATTGCGGAAGATGGAACGCAAAACCCTTATAGATCGAGGTTTCCTCTGATACCATGAAGAATTTGATGATGCAAAATTGAAATAGAACACGAGACAACGAGTTTTACGTGGTATCCTCGATCAATCTATCGATCGAGACTAATCCACAGTGAGCTCGAAAGAGCTTACGACTGACGTTTTATTGAACGACTACATTGTGACGGCTTGCATACGACAATCTCGTAGCTAAGCTTATATAGAGAAAGACGTACGGTTAAAACCCTAATCCAACGAATAGGACGAGGCCTAACAAGGCCCAATACTAACACAGTTTAAGTAACCGCAACAAATGGAGTTCACAGAAATCCGTCAATTTCAACACTTGAGTTAAATTGCAGCCTATAGTGCAACTTTAAGTACATAAAACATTTCTATGGATTGGATTAGGCTATTAAGTGCGGTTTTTAATAACATTTTTAAATATAATAGAGCCTATTAATCGGTGACGGAGTTAGTTTGAAGTTGGGAGTTATAGCTCTTCAAATTTTGAAATATAAGTAATTTGCATGTAAATTTTGTAATAAATTTAGAAAATAGAGTACACAGTAAGGATCCGTTTAGTACAGTTTTGTTGCTGTTGTGGTTGCAGTACTGTTATGACAACAAAGGTACAACCACAACACCATTAAAATGAAAAAAACAAAAACATGTTTAGTTGACAATTATGAAAAATTAGCGAAGTTGACATTTTGATGTGTTTGGTTACTTCATTAGGCATGTTTAGCATCGATATTGATAGAAAGATAAACATAGGAATATAACGCGAGGAATAGTGTGAGGGATGAGTTATAATAAAATTGATGAATAAAAATATATGAAAAATTGTATTGACAATTCTAAGGTTTTCGTAATGATTGGTGAGTTATGCATAAATGGAGAGAGGGAGATATGTAGAATGTGGGTCTAGTGAGATTAAGTCGAAGTCTCGTTTGAACGGAATTATTACAACAATTGATATGATTCTACAAGAAACTGTTTTTGGAATCAGTAAGGAAGCTAATTTATGTTGTGTTGCCAACTCCGATTACAACAACAACAGATGAAAACATGACTATACATGTTTTCAGTCTCTATTGTAATATGCAGGAATGTAAAACGGAAACGAAAAATGATACTAACAGAAGGCTTTAGCGCCTTCCTCCCCAATTACCATGGTTGAATAAGCCCCACTCGTTTAGATTTATGGCTCCACCAATAGTTTCTGTTGTTGATGACATGAACATAATTACACAATTTATTGGTGTGTGCCAAAGTAAGATTTAGTTTTTTTTTATGGTTAATCGAAATTTTGTTGACCCTCTAGATTTGTCTTGACTCGATTGGAATTATGAATGATAATGACTAATGAGGCAGGTTATGGCGTGTATCTCGATATTCATAACTCCATGTGGTAGGAGGAGCATTTGTCTTCGGGTACAGATTGAGACAGATCGACTCATACATGTATATATTTAAAGGAAAAACACTTGAAACATTGATTTTTCATTGAAAATTTGAGAAACGATCTATGACATGATAAATATAGTTAAATTGTTCGAGACATTGAGGATCTCCCTTTTTTTTATAACTTTATTATAGCTAAAATATGATGTAATACGAGTAACATTCCAAGTAATCTGAGCAAAATAACGTATAATTAAGATAAATCAGTCAGAATAAGACGCGTCAGGATGGGTAAGGTAAAGAAAAATAGCCATATCCATCTCATATCGCCAAAGACATATATTATCTACCCAAAACAGATCAAACAAATTTGTGTCACGTCGAAATTACCATCTCCCATAACTATCTGCCAACAAAAACTTACGAGTTAATTGTATGGTTGGTCACTAAGATTGCAAAATGTTCAAGTATGGTCACTCTCCGTCCAACTCCTTTAACTTTTGCTTACGTGGCAGTAAACTCTAAAAGTTGACTGTTAAATGTGTGACGTGGCAATTTAAAAATAATAAAATTTAAATTTTTAAAATTGACATCTAACAAACACACACATCAATAGACTTACTAATAGTAAGTTACTATGAAGCTCAAGGACTAAAATATTAACCAATAACCCGCCGTCGCAAGTAGGCGAAATCGCAGTGAAGCCCTTCATGGGACCAGTTACTATGACAACACCCCTTGTGTTGTTATTGTAACAACACTAGTCTCCAACCAATAGGAAGCTAGGGTTGTGATGACTTTTTATTAGATGAGTTGACCTAGTGTAAAATCAAAGCAGGGGTATAATTGTCGTTATGAAAAATATGTTTAAATAATAATGAAAAATAAAAAAAAATATTTTTTTTAGTTTCGGCCCAAAATTTTGGTCGCCGGAATTCGGCCACCGGTCGCCGGAATATGTTTTTTTTGTCGCCGGAATATGCTTAGCGGCGTCAGAATCTAGTCATCGGGGCTGGAATATGCCTATCGGCGCTGTAATCTACTCACTAACGGTCATTGGAGTTTGGTCAACGGTCTTCGTTGAGCGGTCAATGGCCAACGACCACCGGATGTTATGGTCTGCATTGTGAGATTTATGGTTTGGTTTCTCATATTTTTGTATGCCTTTTGTGGTTTGCTTTATCGTGTTTGTGGTTTGCATTGAGAAGTTTCTGGTTTGCTTTACCGTGTTTGTGGTTTGCATTGAGAAGTTTCTAGTTTGCTTTCAAAAATTTTGTGGTTTGCATTGAGGGGTTTCTGGTTTGTTTTAATATATTTGTGGTCTGCATTATGACGTTTCTGGTTTGCTTTTTTGTGGTTTGATTTACTGTGTTTGTGGTTTGCATTAAGAGGTTTCTGGTGTGCTTTCGCACATGTTGTGGTTTGCTTTGTGATGTTTGTGGTTTGTTTTAGGAGATTTTTGGTATGCATTAGGAGGATTCTGGTTTGGTTTATTGTGTTTCTGGTGTGCTTTTCGGAATATTTGTAGTATGCTTTGTGAGGGTGCGGTTACGGTGCTAATTGTACAATAGTTAGCACCGTCCTAACCAAGGGAAAAAACTACTACTAGTTTGAATTAGTAGTGATTTAGCTTAGATGTTGTATTGATTTTATAATAATCCGTAGTGATTTCGTTATTTTTAGTAGTGTGTTTTGCTAGTTATCACGGTGCTAACCCCTATAAGGGTTAGCACCTAATCCCATATCGCTTTGTGAGGTTTCTAGTTTGCTTTATTGTGTTTCTGGGTTGCATTAAGAAGTTTATGGTGTGCTTTCGAAAATTTTATGGTTTGATTTGTGGGGTTTATGGTTTGTTTTAATGGATTTGTGGTCTGCACTAGAAGGTTTTTGGTTTGCTTTACGACGTTTGTGGTTTGCATTATGAGGTTTCTGGTGTGCTTTCGAACATTCTGTGGTTTTCTTTGTGGGATCTCTGATTTGTTTCAGGCAATTTGTTGTACGTATTAGGGAATTTCTGGTATAATTCTCCATACCACACCACAGTGAGTTCCAAAAGAAATTGTAATATTCAGCCAAGGACTTCAGATACCAAAAGAAATTGCGAGCTCCATACCACACATCCATGTAAAAGAAAAGTAAAAGGATAATAAGGATATTATCATTATGTCATCTCTCTTGCAAGTGCAGATGAAATCATAGAATCGATTTACTGTAAAAGTAACTACATAGTCCCTGCATGCATCTACCTCATTCTCATCATATCTCGTATACTCAGGTCTACTTTTCTCCTAGCTAGCTTGTACATTTCTCGTGACTAGGTTAATTAGCGTGTACCACCCTCCTTTTTTTTAACAAGAGGACACTGTATTTCCATTACTTGCTGCGAAAGTCAAGTATTACAAAATTGGTAAGACAACGTCAAGAATCTGAATCCATTCAGAGGGTAGAGTATTCTTGGCACATGATCTAGCTACCCAGTTTGCTTTCGCGTTGCTCTTATGACCAATGTGTGTGATCTTAATCAATGGGTTAGAGTCCATCGTTTGTCTGATAATGCCAATCCATGCTGCCGCTCGCCTTGGCCACGATTTCGGATGATCATGAATTGCATGAACAAAGGGCAGGCAGTCAGAGGGGACCAAGCAGGGAGAATGGAGACCAGCAGCCAAACGTGAGCCTTCCAAAAGGGCCTTGACTTCCGCTTCAAGTGGGGAAAAACAGTGCAAGATCTCAGCTTTACCATCACACACTTGACCATGGCTGTTCGAAACAACGACGCCATAAGCTGCCTCCTGAGAATCGCTGAAAAATGATCCATCGCAGTGTATCTCAAAATCATGAGTACTTGGCGGTGATTAAGAATGATTCGGTAGTGGGTTAAGCTGAGCTGAAGAAGGAGCAGTGGGGTGCTTCTTGGGACAGGAGGTCCATTTGTGATGTGCCAAGGACGCCTTTTAGATCGTAGATGGAGGCCAAGGAGTGGTGTTCTTGAAGACCCGTTCATTCCTTGCTTTCCAGATCTGCCAAAGGAGAAAGATAATCTTCTGGATTTATTGTGTACTGTCTTTCTTCATAAACATATCACATACCAAGTCTAAGCATAGGGAGGTATACAATAATTCTCAATTGAAATTCCTCCTTTGATTCTCAATTCCTCCATTCCCATCCAATCGACAGAGTAACAAACAATCCATGGGGTAATATTGGAAACAACAGTGAGCACTGACCATCAATTTTGTCACCATTACGACATGCATTCCACATCTATCAACTCAACTCTTGCTAGGAAGGGTCTTTTGATTGTATAAATGAGCTCGAGTTAAGAGGGTTACAAGATTTGAAGCGTTGTGAGATCCAACTGGTACGGAAACCACAGGAGGAGCGGGCGTCAAAGTTCGGGATCGGGAGGAAGTCGTCGACGAGGCGCTGGTAAGAGCGCCAGTAGGATTCGGCAGAAGGAAATCGTTGGTCCGACGGAGGTAGTCAGACTGGACGAGGCGAAGGCCCTGGCGGAGGTACTGGCAGGCCTGGGTGCGGTCGACGGTGGGGATTTTGGCGTTCTCGACGAGGTTGCGGAGGACGGAGAAGTCGAGCTGGCAGGGTTCAGTGGTGTCGTTCTGGGCGACGGCGGTTGCGATTTCGGATTCGCATGTCATTGGGGAAGAGTGATTCCCAGTGGCGCGTGTCCTGCTGAGAGGTCCGGTATTGATATTGGGATTATAAGAAATTAGGGTTTATTTTTTTTTTAAATAAAAGTGATAATGAGATTTCAATTTTAAAATTTTTATTATTTTTAAATTTCCACGTCACACATTTAGCGGTCAACTTTTATAGTATTTTTTTAACCAAAGATAATCATAAATATATTGATAAGCTCAGAAGTTACACCCTGGATCCAACCCAGGCAAGAAAATCATACAAACGACACGAGGCCGGAGACAAAGAAAGGGCCTTTCTAGCCACTGAATGGGCTACCCTATTGCTATTCCGACCGACGAACCGAACATAAAAACCACTATTCACCCCTAGCAAGCTCAAAATCTCCGCGATTATAGCTCTTACCCGACTATCCCGCTCATCCTTTGCATTTATTTTGTCAATGAGTACCTTTGCATCACCTTCAAACCTCACTTGAGGGACGCCAAGGCCCTAACACCAATTAAGAGCTTCACGCAGGGTAATAGTCTCTACCACCAGGGGGTCAACCACACCCTCAAAAACAACCCTTCCGCTGCCACTACAATCCCACCTCTATCCTTAACAATCAACCCTCCCGCTGAATGGGAGCCAACACAGACCGCACCATCCCACATACAGACAAGAGGAGGCCTATCCTCCTCGCCCTGATGATGCTGAGAAATAACCCGGTCCACAATCAATCGATCCTCAGGCAACGACACCCATTCATGTACCTACTGATGATATTGGTGCATCAACTTGGAAACCAAGAATTGCTTGCCCTCAAAGGCTGCCCAATTTCTTGATTTCCAAATACGCTAGAGGAGCGCTACCAAGGCCATAACTTGATCTGGCTGAGTCAATCGAAGCAAACACAGCTTAAGGAACATCAGGAAAGTATGTCGAGGAAGATCTTGGCCCAAATGCTCCAACCCCGAATGAGCCCAGAGAGCTTCAGCGAATGGACACTCCCAAAACAGGTGTTGACCGCTACGTAAGCAAAAGTTAACAGAATTGGACAAAGAGTGACCAAACATGAACGATTTTAGTAAACTAGAGTACCACCAATAGATTTAAATATTTCGAGTGACCAAACTTGATCGTTTTTTTTTTATAATTTTAGTGACCAACCATGCAATTAACCCAAAAACTTACGAACACCATAACTATTCTAAAAGTATAACTCTATCCTATGGTATTACCCTTCTCACTTCCAATTTGCTCAAACCGAAAGAGTTGCAAGCCCAGATGGCAAAGGATCGTACAAATAAGTTCTGAATTGGGCTTTTGGTTGTTACAAATAAATACGGGTAGCCCAGATCCAAACGGGCCTTTCTAATACACAACTTGTATCCCTTTCATCACAACGAGCGCACTGTTAAGCTTACTACCTCTGTAAAGTGTTCCCACCAGAATTTCCTTCAGCAATGGCATTGGCTGCAGTTCTGCTCGAAACCTGGCTGCTTTGGGGGTTTAGGGCCGCATTAAAACACGACGGGTCGGGAAGAACCCTACGACCGCTTCCCAAATCCGGAATGGCTATTGCAGGTATGATGATGCATTCGACGGTGTTTTATTAGCTTATAATGTTCATGCTCCGGAGAACAACGGGCGAATCCTTCCCGGTGTCATCCGTTCATTGCTGTGAAACTAGAATCTAAATTACTTGTCTTTTCGCCTAAGGAAGACATGCTTTTAGGTACCCTTTCTGTATTGATAGGCATTGTTCCTCTTTCCGTATCATACTTTGACTGGTTTTAAGTAATTTTGAGCAAATGTGTTGTTCTGAACACTACAGAAGGGAAGGTGGTGAAAGTGACTGAAGAGCTTATTCATGTCATCGTTCTTGGTTTCTCATCGGCTGTAATAACAGATGAAGATGTCCGCAACGAGTACAAATACAAGACGGTATGTTAACCAGTTGTCATTACTGAGCTTGTGTACGTCAATAGATCTAACAAACACCATGTGATTAAGGCTGGAACTATGATCCGTTTTCTTGTCAAAAGGTGACATTTTCTTCTCTTAAACTTGTGCAAATTATCTTTTGTAGAGATTAAGTAGTTTTACCATCTAAAAGGTCTGCTGATGTTAAGTATTCTAGCGATCTCAGTACCCTAGCAATCCCTCCCGAGATTAGGAACCGTAGAATGAAGCATAATCATTAATGCAGAATTTCGGACAAAGAAGATTTAACATTTGATAGTTGATTTATGTAGATTGCATAAAAGGCACAGTTTATATAATTCCAATCCGTTCAGCAAACCTGAATATCGCCATCTCTGTTGCTCCGTTGTTTTCACCTTCTTACAAAAAAGTTAGGTAAGGATGCTTAGATAAATTATATGAATATGAAAGATCATTTGTGTTTGTTACTTTATACAGTATGGATGAAGAGACCCTCCACATCTACGGATCATTGATCCCTGCTAACACCGGAAGCATTAAGATATTGGACAAACCCTCAGAGCACACCAACACAGAAAGGCTGACAATCAACAGGTTTCTCTCCAAAATCTGCTGCCAACACTAGAAACCCTTCTCCTCACCAACTTAATCAGTATCTCTATCTCATTTCCTTAAAATTTGATGTGTAGCACTCCCAAGAAAAGGAGAATCAAAGAGCAAGAAGCAGTTGCAGAGATAACACAGCACGGCAGCACTGTCAAGGATGCTCCTTTACATAACAATTATGATCGTGAAATTAAGAAGTCGTGAAGAAGCTGATAACTCATCGAAGGTCGGATTAATGAAATGTTGTAGTTTAGCTTGTTATAGGTGATGTTGATTTGTAATATTTACTCTCATATTCTTTGCTGTAAAACAGCAACCACAGTGAATCAATCTAAGCGTTCTTCCCCTCTTCCCTGTGCAAGTTGATTGGTTGGTACCTTTGCTCAAAACTTCCACAAAATCTAGTCACCATCTTCTGGTATACATTTCTTCGGAGGGTATGGCTAGAGGAAGAGGCCTCCTTTCCTCTGTAGCTGAAGAATGCTGGTCTGGTCAGCTACACGATCGAGCACCTGTGTTTTCGTGCAGCTGTCAGATGATGCGTGACATTTTGTAACAGTAAGGGAAGGTTAGCGGTTCCTCATCCAGACATCTTTGGAAGTGATGGACTCCTACCCAACTGCTAATGCTTGTTCTGCGCATGTGACGAAAGACAAGCATAATTCCATTTAGACATCAATTCAATCTGCTTAAACATACATGTAATCAAGTTCTAATGAACTAAAGCTTGATCGTGACAAATGCAGAGAAGCCACCAAAGTTTCAGAGGTGGTGAGGTAGTGGGAAAATGTGACGGCCAGCAAGGAAGAGAGGCGTGATGATCAGATGATGGTGTTTTTTTGTGATGATTAAGGAATGGGAACAAGATTGGCCGGTGGGGGAGAAGATAAACTGATAGAGACTTGCAGCAGCAGCAGCAGCTTTGGTGATTCTCAATTCAGAATTTAGATATCGACAGTCTGTTCCAACAGCTAGATTGGGTGATGGAGAAGGGACACATGTCAATAACCCATTGTGCCCCTCTCTCGAGCATAAGATATCCTGTATCTAATTGGTTGAGATGTTAAAGATGAGCATTCATATGAACAGAAAGGATGATAGCTAGCTGCTGTTGTGTAATCGCACCAGCTAATCACTTGGCTAAGATATTAATTAATGGGTATAAAAGTACATCGCTGATAATTGATACATATAATATACATTGGTAGGACTCACAGACTCCATAATGAATACCTATATATCAGTATTAATGAGTTTTCTTCATAGTCAGAGAATTTTTTTTTACCAATTCAAAAAGAAAAAATCATATAAAGAAGAATCACGATCACTTAAAAAGATGATTTAGGGCCGTCTAATTAGTAACATTAATTCAAGTAGCATCCCAAATTTATTTAGATGCTTCCTATAAAATTTCGAGAGAAAATCATTGAACTCAAACTCAAAACCGTTAAAAGTAGGAACGCGGGCGCTTCAACTACTTGGTTGTGACCGGGTTTGCTAGACTGTTTTTCTCTTCTCAGGAAGCTGTGGAATGGGTAGGAAGGATTCGGTTAGTGGGGTTTTGGTTTGATAAAGAAAGTACATTCCTTTTGCACCCTCTCATGTACTTATGATTTGCCCCCTTCTCATATTATGGGCTATTTCTCCAACAACTATTAATAATAATAAATAAAATAATACTTAATAGGGAGTAACAGAAATAATTAAAATAATATAAATGAAAAGAATATAGATATATCTAGGTATGTATTAATATTATACATATAAAATCCTACGGATGGAAATGGAAGTTTTGATTGATCAATTTTCATTTTGTCAGCATCATTATAAGGTATGGGGTTGCTTTCAAGTTTCAAATTAACCCCATCAATATTCCCATTTTAAGTGGTCCCAACCGATATGTTACGGAGGGTAGATGATAAAGAAGTGTAAAAATAAGATGATAGTATGGCTCATTAGATAAACTATGATACAAATTCGTAATATCATAAATATATTCAATAACAATTTCGATAAGAAGTTGTTAACTTATAATAGTTGTGTATGTTTAGTTTTGCGCTTGCATCTCTTAGACCCTAAACATCAAAAGAAGTCAATATATCCCACAAATTAGTCTAATTCAGCAGACACATACAATATACCAAGATGACTATAACATATTATCATATGCTATAATTTCGGATTATAACTTAAAACTTTTTTTTTCGTTGAATATAACTTACATACTTAACTTACTTACTTGACTTAAACTATTATAGGTGCTTCAAACTATATCTTTGTGCTCATGAGTGTAGATCCTGTCAAAATTACGCATACGATTATTGATTAGTATTAGTTTTGAGCAGCATCATGAATCTAGGGTTGTTGTCTTTAGTCTTTATTCATATTTGTTGCAATTGCTTATATTTTTAAGAATATTAACCATCTTTTAAGAGTATGTAGAATCATATATGTTTGCCAACTTTCATTATGGCTGATAAATTAATGGGATCATATAGAGTACAAAATCTTACAAAACTCAAATCTTGAGCCATCCATTAGTTTTGATATGGATGACTCACAACTCATATAGGGAAAATGATGGGCGAACTAGTAATTTTTTTAAATATTTTTATTTTTTATATACTTTGTCTGACCCAGAATTCAGATGAGTGGTGAGATTTTCACTAGTCAAAGTCTACTTTTTCTAATTTCTCATCTTTTTAATCGAGTCATATCCACTTTGTTTTAATTCAAAATTTTAAAGGTTAAATAGAAAGGAAAAATTAGTTATTATCTACATAATGATATCAGTTTTTCTATATTTTAAGAAAAATGATAATTCAATAAACATTATTGCTAAAATCTTATTACTGTCATATCATCATGATATGCCAATGGTATGATGATTTCTCTAGTTCGTTTTAACTTGAAATTTTTTTTGCATATATAAAAATCATTACTTATGATTAACAAAATGATACCATTGTTGCTGTATTTCAAGAAAAAAAAATTCAAAATACACATTTGTTATAATCTTATTGCTATTATATCGTGATCTTACCATTACGGTAAGACGAAAACCACTATCATTTCACAATTATAGATAATATCATGAGATGACAATGATATAATGACTCGGTTTTTTGCTCAAAGATGAGATTTCATACTATCTTACCACTGCATATCAACATCATACCACTATGGTAAGACTTTATAATATAAACTCATCACTGTAATAGTGTTATCTTACCAATATGGGAAGGATGACAACATCATACCACTATCATATCATGATATAAATAAACAATAATTATATTATCATGATATGGCAGTAGTAAGATGCCATGAAAACGTTCTGCTCCAAAAAAATATCTTTTATCTTGTGGAACACAAAAATATTATTTTCTAAGCAAATTTTTTTAAATCCAATATAAATGAATGAAATATCGCAAATTAAAAATACATTGAAAAATGTATTAATTTTTGCCTAGATATCTTTGCCATCCCACAAAAAATTCGTCCATGTTAGAGATAGATTAGGAATAATCTTATATTTCCTTGTCCTTATAGTCTAGTTCTTAGTATTACCGTGTCCTTTTAGTATTGTAGTTCTCTTACTTATTGTCCAAGTCTTGTAATCTATATAAACCCCTTTGTGGTTTCATAATAATACACACTACTATTCCTAAAACTCCTATATGGTATCAGAGCCTCTAGCTTAACAGCCTTGATCCAGGAACCCTAAAATCTTTTTTTCCCCTTCACCACCGAGATGAGTCCTCACTCACCCGGTTAATTCCCTCCTCCCTTCCGCAGTCTTGTTCTTTATCTTGCTTTTTCTTTCACGTAGCTATAATCCTAATGAGTTCGGTTTTCCTTTCTCAATAAAAAACCCCTATGCTAATTGTTTCTTGTCCCGCACCCCTAGCCATTATCCCTAACTGCTTGCTTCCCAGCCCCACGTCCCAAGCAGTGATAATTCTAGCTTCCAATTGCCACTCTCCCAAAAGCATTCCTTCATTCTATATCATAATCATTATTTTTCGTTGCAGATTCTGATAGTTGTTTTGTGCTCTGTCGATTGACCACTGTCGCATTGTCATTGGAGAGGAAGATCCGATTTTTATAGCCGATGTTATCGTTCTTATCGTATTTTCAGATTGTTGCAGAATTATATGGCGGAGCCACGGTCCTCCTCCAGCCATCTCTTCTTCACGTGTATGGAACGAAGAAAGCTTCTCCGACAACGGTCATTCGGATGAATGCCTCGTGTCCTACACCAGTTTACGTTTATTGGTATCGTTTAAACCAATTGATTATTGTTCATCTCGTTTCCGGTCAATTTTTGAACGAGTGAGTTTCGTTGCAACATATGAATTGCAAGTTTGATGATTTCTTCTTCTCCAAGACGACGGTTAATTGGCTTCGCTCTTCAAGCACGAGAGTTCGACGAGTTTGCAACACATTATACACCATCACATTGCGGGGTCGTGTTCTTCAAGATTGGCGTATTTTGGTCAAGATTGATGTTGTTCTCACACCATCATCTTGCGGGGGCGTGTTAGAGATAGATTAGGAATAATCTTATATTTCCTTGTCCTTATAGTCTAGTTCTTAGTATTACCGTGTCCTTTTAGTATTGTGGTTATCTTACTTATTGTCCAAGTCTTGTAATCTATATAAACCCCTTTGTGGTTTCATAATAATACACACTACTATTCCTAAAACTCCTATAGTCCAGATGTATCACAAACTCATACTTTCTCTTCTCTCTTTATCGGTCTGTGCAAAAATGAGCATTAGATCACACCTCCTAATCTCAACCATCAATACGTAATTTTGTATAGCTACAGATAAATTTTTTGTGTAACCTATACCTAAATAAATATTATATACACTTTTTGAAATTGATTCAAGGTTGGTGAATGATTTTCAGCTAAACCATCCCCAACTGCCAACATGCGAGGAGGACAAATTGTATATTATAATCCCACTACAAAACAGGCAAAAGATTGTGACAAAATTTCCCCTATACTCCGCTAGCTATTTAATTAATTAATTGCTAACTTGCCTCTTTATCCCCTTACTAATTAAATTAACCCCCACAAATATGAAGAGCCGGACTACATTAATTTAATTAAACCCATAGTTTCATAGTTAATTCCAGTTTCTTCGTCTTCTTCTCCATGGTCCATGAAGAAGGAATACCGTTGGTTTCAACTTTTTCCTTCTCCCCAACAGCTTGGTGTTTTGCCCTTATTTTAAAGGGATTGAACTTAATTGTCTCCTCTATTATGTAACTTTTATCAAATATATCCCTGTATTTTGAAAAATCTTTCCTCAAGTACTTTAATGGACAAGTTTCATTTACCTCTAGATTCTAGCACACCGTTAAATATTTTTTTATCACATTTTCTAGAGATATTTGAATTTACCTTGCCAAAATTTCTATGGTACCTATAGTGAAATTCGGGGTATCGCATATCTTGAGTATGAAAACACTATCCAGGCTTTGAATTGACTGATCTTTCGGATATGATATTATACTATAACCCTTAAGATCAAAATCTATGTCTTAATTCTCTAAACCATATACCCCAATATCAATTTAATTAGAAACAATAATCGGCGATTATGATTCGTCCAAATATAGGCAAAAAATGAATGCACCATCTTAGGGTTTATAGTTTAAGATTTAGATAATTAGGACCTAGGATTCACTTATTAATGGTTAGGATATAGTATCAGGCCA